CATAATTTTCCAAGACATACAGCCATCTCAGAATGTTCATGTAACTTTTAGTGCTTGACTTACAAATACAGAAAGACCACCTTTGTGAGCAACAAAAAGGGTTTATACCTTTACTATCATCACAGAACTGTGAAGAAAACCTTTTCACTCCCAAGAGATACAAAAGCATCAGCAATCCTGCAGTCCTTTGTGTACTTTTGAGGCTGGAAGTTGAAGTACATTTTAAAGGGAGGATTATAAATCTCAGAAAATAATTTCCCACCTAATCTCTAACTGCTTAATGTTTTTACAGGAATTCTGCCAATATTTTACATGCAGTGTTAAAAGTCAAGCACTTAACATAGTGTTGGCACCAGCCAGCAGTCAGAGACAGCTCTCCATAGAGGGGATAAAAGACTGGAACAGCTCACACCACAAATATGAACTAGACTTCTCTGTCAAGTCGGAATATCCCAATATCCCTACATCACTAGTACTCTACTGTCATACCTTGCCAAAACAAGAATTTTTTCAAGAGTTTGCTTTCAAAAAGGCAGTAGCATTGTATTACTTCCAGAAATGAATAATAAAAAAGAAAGAAGCAGTGCCAACAAATCACTGGGGAAAAAAATTAACTTAGCTATTCTTTACCTGCAGATTTGTTCTAACTTTGGATGAAACCAAAAAATGTAAAAAAACCCCAAAACCGCAGTACAAACACAATCTAAGGAAAAATTAACATTTAGACATGCATTTGTAATATGAAATACAAAACAAACTCATAAGGAAGTCTTTCCTAGTGCAACAAAAAATAAATAGGCAGTTTAGGAGCAAACACAGCTGAAAGCAATTTTAATACCAGTGAATGTTGAATGGCTGCTGCATAAAGTGCACTGAAATTTTGCTTCCCACTTACCCGTTATTGAAAGGAACAAACTGCAGGTTACACTATATCAACAAAAAGCATTTAAGAAGACAAAGGGAAAGAAAAGTTTAGAAAGTGAGTCTCCAAGAACGTGTTACGAAGAGTGTGTCAAACTGTATTTGTCTAATGCTGTACTCTTGAGAATTCCTTCATTCCATGAGAAAGAATTGCATTTCAGTCATTAAAAAAACAATCAAAATGTCTAATTTGTGACATATATACAGCTGTTGGCACTAGTTTAAGAGGCAGGGGGGTTTTAACTATTAGGTAGTTATCGTAACACTACAGTAAGTAGGCACAATTTCAAGTGCCACACCTTGTGTATGAATAATTTCAAAACATGGTTCTTTATACGAGCAGATGAGGATTCAGGTAATATATTCCATCCCAATTTCCAATTCATACTTGAACAGTTCTTACAAAAACACATATTAACTTGACTGTGCTGTGGTACATTGATAAAAGCTTTAAAAATGCACATGGAAAATTTAGTTGTTAGCATGCCAAATCAAGGTCAAAACAAAGTCTCACCTCACTATTTTTGCAGCCTTTTTTGAGACAGGTAAATTGGCAAATGGCAGCATGGTGAAACAGAGCACTCACCATGCAATAATAATGACAAGTAGTAAAGGAAAAATTAGACTGTCACCAGCATTTAATATCATATGAAGTAATGGCATTTACTCCTTTAAGGAATGTAAGCATCAATTTCATTAGGGACAGTTTGCAGCCCTTTGTAGAGAAGGTAAATATTATTTTATGCATATCAGCTAGCACTCTAGTGATATAGCAGTGCAAGATAGGATCTTCTCCAAATAAGTTCAGACATGCATTTTACTGCACCTAGAAATTGGAAATAATTTATCCTGAGAGAAGCATTTAAATTTCCAGTATAGTCACTAATGGTAGGTGCCTCTGGAGATCTCAAGGGAGGTTTGGTCTGCCTAATTTAGACAGGCAGACACAGAAGTATCTTCTGCCATGGCAAGATTTCCTAAATGAGGAAGACTTTATTTAACTTGTAAATACAAGCTCCAAGTAATGTCTATTACTTTCAAAAGCAGTATTTTTTTGAGATTCTCTTCTGAAAGAAGAAACACACTGGAAAGACCAAGGTCCAATTGCCTGTAATCACACCCCCAAAATACCATACTTACTTCATAACCTTAGTATTTGCACTTGCAGGAATGATGAATTAATCAGTGTTTTAAATTATTGGGGAAGAAAGGAAAATAATTCCCATTACTCTTTACACCATATGAAACTGACTTTGCTTATCTTGATTACCTATTAGAGTGATAGTAGCAGACTGCAGTACATAAAATTATGCGCATTGAACCCATAATTTGCCTGCCATGAAGATAAATGAATGAAGAGTCCATAATTTAAAACTCTGGAAAATACCAGCCTGTACAAGTAAGTAGTTTTACAGAAGGTGACTTTTTCAAGCCATATTCAGCACTGACGGGTTCATATCAGTTCTTCTAAGTGCACTTTGTTGTTGTGAATACAAACCTGCAGAGTCCAGGGCACAGATTATGGGCATTGGGGTCCAACAGAATCAAAATGTTTTATTGATTTTTTGGTAAATCCACTATTTACAGAAAAAGGAGGATTACTGTGAGCCTCTCACAAAGGGGAACTGCCCAGAAACCACAGCCTGCTGAAAAGAGGTACTGTCACTTACGCAGCCAGGGGTTGATTTCAGGGGTTTAAAATTTTTAACAGCCTGGAAAATACAGTTTAAACACTGGATATTTACATATTTTAAAGCAAATTCTTTGCTTGGGATTTTTATGCCTTTGTATAACCAACAGGAAAAATGGAGGAGATGCTAAGAAATCCATCTGTTTCTGTCTGCAGGGCTGACAGTTTCTGTCTGTTTTCCTAAGTTAACATTAAATGTGAGCAGAAAAGGATCTCAAAAATATCTGCCCTTTTGCTATTTTCACCCTAAAGATGAATTAAAGTATACAGTTTGTAAATTTCAGAAATGATTGGTTTTGAAAAACTTCACCAATATGTTGTACTCCTACTAAATTAGCTATTTAAAATTTTGAAGTTCGGTAATACAGCTTGGATCGTGTGTTAGATTTAAGTATGACTCTGTCTGCCTCTGAGGCATCACCACAATCCATTAAGTTCCCCTTATTTTCTGCCCATTGTAAGCTTAATATGTGATTCATCTTTTTTCATACCACACAGGACAAAAAGTGGTATTTTGCATTTGAATCTCTAATTTACACTCGTCATCTTTTTTTCCCAAGCAATAAATGGTGAAGAGGAAAGCTTTTTTGCAGCTTCTTCAGCTGGGGAAAAGTAGTTATATGTCAGACCCATAAGGATTTTGCTGCTCTCTTTATCCCTTGACCCTATTTTCATACTCAGAGCTACAAGGAAATAAACTATCCCCCAGAAAGAAAATATACTGGGAGGTTGGTAAGCATTACAGTATGTAAATTGTATGTCCTTTTCCCCAAGATACACTCAAGTCTTTAGGGACAAGGGCAAGTAAGCTCTCAAAATGAAATACTTTATAATGGAAATATTCTATTCCAGTCTTTTAGGTACTCACTCAAGGAGAAAACAACACAACTTCAAGTCTCTAGAGGAAAACAACACAATAAACTATACAGAGCAGTTTTGATATAAAAGGAGGAAAGCATTCCTGATAGATGGAACTTACCAAGTAATATTTACAAAGTTTATCTTTGTATAGTATTTTGTAGTTATTAATTAAACCGTGGCATCTCTTGTGGGGAAAATTGCATTGATTTTTCCCACCATTGTAGATGGCATTTTAATAAAGAAGAGAGACAAAAGCATGATGCTGAAACTGGAGGGATAAAAAAGATATTTCTTTTAAGAAGGAAAGAATAATGATTGCCTTTGAACTTCAAATATAATGCCACTTCTCCCAGAAAACAGCACTACTGATGGAAAGAAATTTTTCTGGGTTTTTTTTCTTTTTTTCTTTTTTCTATTTCAGCCCTCTGTTTTGTTGTCAGAGGAGAGTTATTGTTCACAATTAGAGATATAAGAACCAAGAGGATTTACCATGAAGCTATCAGTAATATTTCAACTACAGAAACCATGTGGGAAACTGTTCTTAAAAGCTGTCAAGAAGATGTAAAAACAGAATAAAAGCAAGTCCTTGGATGGATCTAAATATACTAGGCAGGGAGAAGACATTTAATATCTCTAATTCTCCTGCTTGGGGAATGGGGTAGTGAAGGGAAGTGAAGACAATAACAGCGAGAAGCTTCATGGCCTCCCTCAGTAGCCTCTCCTTTCACCAGTGCAGAGGAGAGGATACTGGGTTAAATGGGTCACTGACATAAAATGCCTGTAGAACCTTCCTGGTCACTGAGCCTTCAGATCAGAGTGAAAACTTGTATTTTTAAACTGAAATACAGAGCTGTTGGCAAAATAGCTGTTGCCTTCAACAGAATTATGTTTTTGTCCTCTAGTTCTGGCTATCTGTGCATATAAATGTGGCATGTAACCAGAGACTCTTGTAATCCTGTAAACCTACTGCAATAATATAACTGTACAGAGCCATATTGGAATTGACTTCCTTGTAAGCCTTAAATTTAGTAAGTCACAGATATGCACATCAGGTAACTAACACCAACTCCTTTAGCAGGCATGTGATTTTCATTCGAAGTGCCTAGTTTTTCTATCTGCCATCTAAACAAAAAACCTTGCAGCAATACAAGTTAAGAAAGAACCTAGATTTAATAAAGGAGGAAGACGGAAATTATGTCTTATTGTTACGTAAACATATGCACCCACTTAATATACCTAAATCATGCTGTTGGTGCTTCTGTATGCTCACTGCAATGCCAAGTTGTGGTACTCTCAGGTACAGATGGCCCAGTACCAGAGGCTCACTTCCTACACTTATCTACCATATGCAAGCCTTTTAACTAAATAATTTTTAATAATTGAAGTGAGACACAGAGCAACTAGTGTTTTGCTGTAGATGTGCACTCAGCAGAAACTTGAATTAACCTTTATGGTGCAGGAAATTAATACTTTCATTACTAGAGTGGTAGTCAGAACTATACTGTATCCATAGGAAAAAGCACCTTACCTGAATAACATGTTTCAGCTTGTCAATAATTTGGCTTATTACAGGATCTGTTCCCTTCACTTTTACTTCTGGATTTGCAGACTGAGCTTTGATTCCACTGCCAACCACACGGTGCGTATAGCTAGTTTAATACAGAAACACACATAAAAATGTTTTAGTAACTTACTCTACTCTCAGAGAGTCATCTTAGTCATCTTCTAGTTTGTATTATCTCTCATGGCACCAGCATACCTCTTTGAGGAGATGCATTAATTTTGTGCACATGTTTTTCACAAAAAAGAAATACAACAAAATATAATTACTACATTCCACAAAGTTCTGTTATTTATTAGCATTTTAAGTTTACTGCAGACTTTAATAAAGGAAAGTTATCTACATTTTGTAGCATGAAACATTGATCCCTGTGCATGTTTTGTGCGTGCAAAAAGACTGTGCTCCATTTTGATTTTGCTAAATACAACATGATGATTGCCTTAATGTGTGACATTCCAAAGTTTTAAAACAAACTCTAGATTCCATACACACAGCACGTTCAGAAATAAACCTGAAGATTTTTAGTGTTTTTGTGAGTGAATGCACAGACAGAATATTTACTGAAAGATAACAGCCACATTGTGCATTAATTATTTATAATTACATAAATTATATAAGTAAGAGTAGGCCAAAATGTACTTGATATATAGATATATCAAAAGAAGTAAAAAACCACATATAAGCTGATTCAAAAAAGAACTGCTTGAGTAAGGAGAACATTGTTTATAATACATCAAAATTCAAAATACAGTAAATAAACTAACCACCGAGCAGGATTCTGTAGCTTATTAAGAAGCAATTCTTCATTCAACTTACCATATTATATGTAATACTCAAGTTATGCAAGAAAAACCGAATATCTACCTTCTCATCACAGATACTGTACACTATGCAAATACTGTCCATATGCTATATTTTTTCAGTGTACTCTATAAGAGGATAGCTCTATAGCTCTCTGTCTCAAAAGTATTTTGCCAGCTGTTATGCTGTAAGGAAAAGAAAGGAAATAACCTTATCAGAGTAAAGAAATACCAATTCTTGCCTGTTAGATCCACATATAAGCACAGACAACACAGCATGCTAAAATTTTGCAGAATTTCTTTTATGAAAAACATTACATGTCCTCTTAGCTCTGCAGAAAAGCTTGCATATATGCTAAACAATGAATGCAGTTCAGTAAAACAAGGTTGCCACATAACAGTATTTTGTCCTTGATCTTTACTTAAATATCACCCTAAATGAGATTTAGGATGTTCCTGAGGAAGTGTACACACTGAATAAATGAATGAATAAATGAATGGCTTGTATTTTGAAAAGGTGTTACTTTGATTTACAGCAGACAGCTTTTTGTGCTGCCTTGTAGCAGTGGAGCCATTTGCCAGCTTGAAGTGATGGGGAAAAGCTTTGTATATAGGAATGTGTACAAAATCCACAGTCTGCCTGCTAGTCTTGGGCCATTGTTTAATTCAGCAATTTGGCCTGAGCCAACAAACCTTCTGGTAATTCTAAGTGTGAAAAAATTAAAGTTTAGCATAAAAACCTCCAAAAAAATTTTTAGCAGTCATTTGTATAAAACAAAATGGATAGATAGATAGATAGATCGATAGATAGATAGACAGATAGATAGATAAGGAATTAATTCCAGCTGAACAATGCTGCAGTGACCAGAAAAAACTGGTTTAACTCAACATACTAGTTTAACGCAGCACCAAAATTTCTCTTCATACCATAAGACTATAAAAAATCTTGAAGGTTATGTCTATTATTTTAATCCAGTGGTCTTGCTCTGTTTCACAGCATGTAAAATCTGTGTTCTCACTTTCTGTCACTCAGAATTTTTCAATTAACACCTTTTTTTCAAATGCTGCAAAACCAACTATTGCACATTTTCCTGTGAACAGCATAACTGTGAAAAAGAATACCCTTTCTCTTTTTTTAATTCAATGATACTCATTTCTCTAACCATGCAAGAAGAAATAAATCATGCAGAAGCTGAAAGTTCCCTAGATTACAATTTTATTAGTTTCATTCACCTGAGAATTATTTGGCAATGTCTCATTCAAGACTGATTATCATTTCTTTTTCAGCTATTTCTACAATGAAATCAGAAGTCTTGCACAGCTGGTATTTGCTGTAGGAGTGACTCCCTCCCTTCACATGAGTGAAAGTAGCTGGGAAAGTAATGCTCTGTTGTGAGCCTGAAACTCCTGATATTAGGAGTTTCAATCATGTCTCCAACCTCTTCAGAGTCAACATTCTCTAAATTCCTCTTCACCTTTTTTCAGTTGAGAGTGGGCAAGGGTAAGAAGATGAAGCAGATGTGATGTGCATTGAAACAGCGACAAGTAGCACACTAGTGCTTGATAACACCACAAATTTAAATCTATTTGCATTGAAGAAATATTTGGAAAATAGGTGCTGGTAGTAACAACCTTGGTATTACTTTTTCCCTATGCTGTTTAGCATATTTCCACCTTCTTTCTCACTACTGATCCTTCTCTCACCAACAGCTGGCACGATCCTTTCTGGGGTTTACAGAAGGAATTTCTTATTTTCCCTGCTTTCTGCTGCCTGCAGGCTTCCTTATCCTCCATTTTCAAACAGATCAGTGCACCTTGAAATTGATCCTCCAGGTTCTGCATGTGAGTTCTCCCTTAGGAACATACCAGAAGTAACCATCATGTATGGAAAATGAAGAGCTGGATTTCAAAAATTAAGATTCATTTAAATGGAATTTGATTTGTAAGAATATTTTGCCCAAAATAAATCTTGTTTTCTTGGCAAAAGCAAAGCCCAGGGGTGGCTGCAGGAGTAGCTTCTGGGACAGGATGCCAGAAGTTTTCCCGAGAGTGGAGCCAATTCCAGCCAGCTCCAAGACAGACCCACTGCTGGCCAAGCCCAAGCACATCAGTGATGGTGGTAGTACTCCTGTGACAACACATTTAAAATGGACAAAAAACTGCTGAGCAAGAGGAGGTGGATGAGATGAATTGAGAACATGAGAGAAACAGCCCTGCAGACCCACATAGAGAGAAGTCTATGCTGGAGCAGGTTTGCTGGGAGGTGACCTGTGGTGGAGGAACCCACACTGGAGGAGCCTCTTCCTTCTGACCTCCACCCTGTGGAAAAGACCCGCGCTGGAGCAGTTTGTGAAGAACTGCAGCCTGTAAGAAGGACCCAAGTATGACCTCCACCCTGTGGAAAAGACCCGTGCTGGAGCAGTTTGTGAAGAACTGCAGCCTGTAAGAAGGACCCAAGTTAGAGAAGTTCATGGACAACTGACTCCCATGGGGTGGACTCCCGTGCTGGAGCGGGGAAAGAATGTGAGGAGGAAGGAGTGGTAGAGACAGTGTGTAATGAATGCCCAAATGTGAGTACACTCAATGTATTTAAGTAAATTAATGTATAAGTTTGCATTTTTCTTGTTAATTTAGAATAGTAACCCGTATTAAATTTGCTTTCACTGCAAGGTGATCCAGCTTTGACCAACTGATATTAAAAACTCTCATTTAACTTTGAGTTTGTCGTAATTATATGCTCTGACAAGTCATAAGACAGATGAAAGCCTTTTTTCTTTCTTTGGGTGTATAATAAGGCATTGACAAAACCTTATGAAATATTGCTTTATTGATTCTTATCATAAAAGTAAGATTATGAAAGTCAACATATTTTTGTTTAATCTTTGTCTGTTTAAAATGGTATCTTTTGCCTACAAAAATTATAAATTACTCATAAGTTATTTCATACTCCATGTAATTTTGTTTAATTAACAAATGTCTATAAATCTAGCATCTTCAAGTATTCTAATGTAAATGAAATGATCTGTCAAAGCTAAACAGGCTGTTGGGAATCTGAACATGGTACACTAAACTTCATCTCTGTAGACTCACATTTACATGCAAAATTTGTTTCCTGTTGCTTAGGGGTGGGGGGAAATATAAAAATCCAAGACTCGGTTTGAGAGACTTCATTCATTTTAAAGTTTTAATACGGCATTAATCACTTTCTGTTTCTCTAACTCCTAATGTACAAGTAATGGGAAAAATATTTTAAGGATCCCCACAGAGGTAGTCTGACTTAAGCAAGTGTTGCTCAGATTTGAATCCTGGGGGAAAAAAATGACAAATTTCTTGCTAGAGAAATAATAGACCCGCCATCTGTGCTCATTTCTGTACAAGCATGGTAATGTATCACATCACTTTAATAGGCAGACTTGGTCCCCAAGTACTATTCATTTTCATCAGCATTAGGAAAAAACCCCAAGAACTAATATATTTGTATTCTATAAACATGTTTTAAAGTGATGAATAACAAGGTGCCCATTTTCTGAGCTCAATATATGAATATTCATATAAATTACCTATTACTCTCTATTGTATTTATGAATACAATTGGTGGGGTTTACTTTTGATTCTCTCAAGATCTCTGATAAAAGAGAAAATAATGCTTTATTTGCTATCACCTATTTCTTGGTACATGCAGTTGGAAAAGCTATTAGAATTACTAAATACATCAATTCTTGTATGATTCAGCCATTTTGGATGTGGTGCTTCAGGAAGATCTGTACATGTATATCCCTCCAGCACAAAATAATCTGTATAATCTTGTGATGACAACTAATACATAATGTTTATTGTCAACACTGATTATGATTTTGCTTTTCAAGCTACTTTTAGGCACTTTGACCATATTTCAAGTGGGAGATTAAAGTAATGAAAGGTGTACTATGACAGAAAAGTTATTGTCCAGAACATCCCTAAGTGCACCGGCAGTCAAGCCTCTCCCAAGAGACCTGGTGATATTTAGCAAGTTTAGCTGGTCACTCCATCCTGATGTAACTCTTTCAACTGCTGCCATCACCACCTGTCACAGGTTTCTTCTAGTCACCGGTGATGTTCCTCGGGAATCAGAACTGGGGGTCCATCTTGTTGAACACCTTTATGGATGGTTTGGAGAAGTGGTTCAAACACAGCCTCAGTCAGCTCATACATGACACCAAGTTAGGTGGGAGTGTTGATCTGCTGGAGGGTAGGAAGGCTCCGCAGAAAGATCTGGAAAGATTCAAACAATGGACTGAGGACAATGGCA